TTCACGTTGATTGGTGCGATTGTTGGAGTGTAAACTTTGTAATAATTATCATCAATAACGACTGGCTCCTCATCAGTTGTATAAACGTATTGAATGTCCATTTTTAGGTATATATATCTGAAATATATTTAAGATAATGTAGAAACGATGTAATTATCTTCATGTTGTTCATGGTTCATGTGTCGTTTCTATGATTGACGCTCAGCGCGTACCGGCTCACCATGACTATCTACACACTGTTATTATCTATATCTACAAGTCTCTATTTTTTTTACTTTCTCCAGGTATATATAAACAATCATGAATCACTCGCGTCAATCTTATCGAAAAGATACCAAAGCAATCGTCAGAAACGACGTGATGCCAATCACCAGCAAATGTTACGAAATTTTGTGAATGCACTATGCGTGAAGGAGGCTCAACAACAACGAATTGAGGATCCAATCGCATATATTTTCAATGCTTAAAATAGATTTTTTTGTGTCCCTGCCAAAAAAATATCACTGTCTAAGCACTCTGTTCTCCTAGCCACCGCTTGTGTTTCTGCGATCGAACGTGAACATGGCGATTTGCGGCAGAATATCTACCGCCACACTCGCAATTGGATCGAGTTGCCAGCCGCTCCTTAGACATTGATTCCCATCGTTGCTTATTGGCTTCATAATATTGCTTGTTATAGGCTCTAATGCTTTCTTTATTGTGTTCTCGATAATCCTTTTGACGCAGATGATCTATCGTAAATGAGTTATTCTTATTCACTGCTGATTTTCTAAATTTTGCAATCCAGAGCTGTTCATATGCTTGAAGATGCTGTTGGTCGACAACCTCATACTCTTTTACAAGGGTGATCTTGAATTTATCAATGTCGTGAGTTTTGAAGTATGGAAAGATTGGCATCTGTGTATGCTTGCCTTCAACCCAGCGCCGAAAGTTATTTTTATGTCCTTGCCAACGCCAAGATAACTTGTTGATAGTAGAGCCGATATAGCATAGGTCACTTTCAAGATGAATGATTCTGTAGACTCGGCCAATCATTTTATTTCTCAAATTGGATTTCCAAATTTTATAGTTTCTATATATTGATCACTATATTTATCAGAAATAAAATTAATTAAGTCGGGTGTTGCTTACCTGGTGCGCTTCCTCAATAACCTCAGTTGAGGCTTTATGTTGAGGTTCCAAAACCGCGTTCCGAACCGGTTCCAAAATGATGTCGTGAAGCCGGTAACCGCCGTTTCATATACCCTTACCGGTATGAGCTGTTGGTGACCTTTAGCCTCTTTATTACCGGCTATCCCAGCCCTCGCACAGCCCTAGTTTAGCGCAATTCTTGATGTAGATCGCCACCATGTGTGTTGATCATATCGATTCGCGAGCAATTCTGGCGTTGAAGTTACTGCACAAAAATCGAGAGTTACACCTCAACTATCAGGTGAAGCGAGGTTTCCAGTGAAAAACTACAGCCGCCAGGTAGAGCTCTAGACGTCGATAATAAACCGATCCATTTGAGAGATATACATCTTACATTGCTGGACAGCGACCAAGTGAACCAGCGAGCACGGCAAATCACTTGGCAGGAAAAGATTTCTCGATGTCCGTGTGAGCCGCCTCACGACAATGACTGGCGTCGAAAGATATCGGGGTATGCTGGTCATCATTCATGACAGCATGATAGATGAAGACCTGCGAGAAATAATAAGAACTATGGCCCTGAAGCTCCGCATCTTAATTAAAGTAGCTAAAGTGATTGGGATTGAGGTATCGTATCCAAATCGGCACTCTTCTACACTCAACGTAACTAGCAGAGGTCACTACATCGTAAGCTTCACAGCGTGAAAGAGGCCCATCAAAAGTCACTTTGCCCAAATATGACAATGCATAAAGCTCAATTCGAGTGGCTTCCTGAGGCGTGATGACCAGCGGCTTCGATTGAGATGCAGAGCTCCAGATGAATATCTTATTATTTCGTGTAGCGTGCAAATCCAGTTGTCAGGTGAAGCGCAGCCATCAGCAAGTGGAGAATCACAGCCGTTATGTAGAGTTCTGTTTATTCGTAGTGGTCGATCTGCCTTAACGAAGTGTTGG